ACGCGTTCATACATACGGACAGACGGACAGACAGACGGACAGGGTCAAATCAACTCAGCTCGTCACCCTGATCAAGAATATATATACTTTGTGGGGTCTGCCACGCCTCCTTCTCCCTGTTACATACATTTCAACAAAACCATTATACCCTGATTTCAAATTGAAAATGGGTTCAGGGTATAATAATTCACTTACGTAAATGAGTATAAATATGACACAAATATATTAGCAAATTATAATAAAATCATTAATTACTTACCTCCGAAATATACACGAATCGATTTCGGAACACACGCTGTAAATTTACTGACTTCATCGTTTCCTATCAGAATATTATGAATTTGATAAGTTGCACATAGCTTATTTATCAAAGGTATTGGACCAGAAACGAGATCAACAAGGTACGCTTTGAATCCTAGTTGCCTGTAATAGAAAATATTGTCTTAAATATATTAACAGCTATAGCTTTTTATAAAACACATTACACTTAGACAGATTTTCCTATTCAATTCAATTCAATATATCAAATATTTTTTAATTAGTTCTAATTTTCTATGACCTGGAGATACACAACTATATTACACATTTATAACCCATTTTCGATTTAAGTTTATAATGCAAATCTAATGCAAAAACAAGTAAAAAAGTTGTAGTCGAGACTGATCGACTACGAAATTCCCTGAACCCTTCTAAAACTTGATATTTCAATAATTATTCGCGCCTTTTTGCTTGATCAAGAAACCCACACAGAAATACATAGACTTCACCCATGAACACGCAACAACTGCAGTGTAGGTTTACTATGGGAATAATTAATTGTTTAATAGCTTTTCATCTCGATGATTTCTCTCCATGAAACTTGTAGATTGTGATCATAACATGAAAATGCATGTATGTGCCAAAGCACAAGTCTCAAGTATTTGAAATACGCTTTTTACAAATATATGGGTAAGGGGCTGGATATAGGGAGGGGGTTCAATTACAACAAAAATCTAAATTATATAAAATACATATATGTAAGCCTATATTTGAAGTTTGGAGACTGTAGCTCTAAAGGTGTAGAAGATATAATTAAAGAACTAATTAAATCGATAATAAAATATAGGGAGTAATTATAGATTTGGAGAGAAAAACTCTATATGCACGTGATATACACGGACCAAAGAAAAAAATTTCCAGTCTCTAGCCCATATCTTCTGAGATCGACTCAGCTCATCGCCCTAATCAAGAATATATACTCGTATACATTGTGGAGTCTGCCACGCCTCCTCCTGCCATACTTTTAACAAAACCATTATACCCTGATTCCCCATTTTCAATGGGTTAAGGGTATAATAATAATACTTACGTAACTTCTGTTATTGGCACAGTAGGTTTAAACAAACAGTTCTCCGCTGGTGCGCAGTACATAACATTTACAGATAACTTTTGCTTTACACATAACTCATCAATAAGATCGGACATATCATTTTTGTCTTCACATGCAAAGGCAAAAAGGTCTCGCTGCCTAACAACGTTTTCTAAATACATGGCTCCTTCCTCGCTTTTTATTGTCAACTGAAAATTACATATTTAGTATTACTTGAATAATTAATTAATTCACGTGTGGTCTTTCAAAAACAATCTTACTTCAAATATCATTGGATCATATATATTACACGAATATATATGCTTATTTTGTGCTACCCAATTCATAGCTTTGAGCAAGTTGGGGTTTCGAACACGCAGCTCCTAAAAATTAATAAAAATAACTATAATTTGACTTTATTATTTATTCACCTTACGTCAATCTTTTGCGATTTTATGTTTTCTAATCGATCAATCTTGTGGCAGAGTGCTGCAATTTCAGGAATTTTTTCATCATTTAATTTTGTTTCAAGTTCCCTGCGCTTATTATAATGGCTCATTGTCGTGTCACGAGTCTTTATTATAATGTTTTTTTTCGTCTCCAATTCATTTAAAACCTGAGACTTAGTGACATTAAATATATCCAACTCATGTTGTTTAGTTTCTAGTAAATACTTTAGTTTTTCCACGTCGTTTATGCTCTTGATTGATTGTTGGATAGTTCTCTGCAAAACACATTAAATACATCAAAGTATATAGGCCTTTTCACAATTGAATATTCTTACCTCTAGTTCGCATTTACTTTCAGTGATACTTTTTTTTACGGTCTCTATCTGAGAACTTAGCTTATTCATAGAAATCGTGGTTTCATTTATTTGCCTATTCTGAAACGAAATATAAATGTTATATCTTAAAATGTTACAAAAGTATACTCCAAATATTAACTAACTTGCTTAGTGTTTTTTTCCCGTAAGTCAGCATTTATTTTTGCTATTTCTTCTTGTGCACTTTTCTCTTTTTCAAATGCATTCTTTGAATCTTGATAATCTGCTTTCGCTTCATCCAATTGACTTTTATAATTGTGAATTTTTTCCTCAGAGTCTTTCAGTTCAATCCACAGCTTTTTCGCTTTATAAATGTTTAACTTCTGTATTATTTCCTGGCGCTCTTGATATTGATCTACCGAAACCTGTAGCCTGTATTGTACGATTTGCTAATATTTTAAAAACTCTTCATGCATATATGGTATAATAAACTCTTACTGCTCCAATCGCTTTTCCTCTTGTTGAAGTTTATCATTTTGCTTCTCTCTGTCTGTTTGAGCGGTCAGTTGCTTTAATCGCATTTCTTTAAGATCAGTGAAGTTCTTTATTAACTTATTATCGCACACAGAGGACATGGTGTTGACTAAAAGATCTTGTGGATTCATTTTTGAAAAATCCTACAATTATGTAAATATAACAATATATTAGACTCATATAAATCAAAATATAAACAAATTTTAGGTATACAGTAGATTTAGCAAGTTCCATTATCACATCTTACAGTAGGTAAGAATGCTACATTGAAACACCTAATTTACAGCTAACATAACAATATTTAGTTTCTTTGTGCTCAACTAGATACTACCCTGAACCAACCTAATAAAAAATCACATTTAATACGGTTCAAAATTTCAATTTCGATATGTTTAAAA